AAAGCTGTCGCCTGCTGGCGTGGTGACCAGGTAATTTGGGCACCCAGGAGCACGTGACCACTTGTTCAACCATGTTCGATTGGGAATAAAGGAAGAACGCTGCATCGCAGCCTTTTCGGACCAAAACAAGTCGACTCAGCGTCCAAAGGACTACAACATATGGGCCAATCGCGGTCATCCGTGCTTTTATAAGAACGAAATGGCACTTTTAGTGACATTTTGCATACAAATCCCCATCTAGTAGGGCGCAGTCACCCAGTTTTGGTGGAAGTGCGCGAGTTCGATTGGGATTCAAGTAGGAAGGGAGCGTCTCATCTTCCTCGGACCAAGACCATTCGACTCAGCACCCCGAAGACTACAACTGGTGAAATTTTAATTTTTGCCTTAACTTCCCCTTTAAAAAAAGAAATGCAGAACTATAACTATAATGTAACACCCACAGCACCACCTACCTCCTCGACCCAGTCACTGCGCCTCCTGGTGACTAATGCTTTTAGCTTAGCAAACAAATTTGGAGAATTTGTCCACACTGTCACGCACCACAATGTAGACATCGCTGTTGTGACCGAGACCAAGTTTGATGCAACTATCATGCCAGCTGACCAATGATAAAGAATGATGGCAGCACTGGGTGACCCTAATTCTCCAACAGGACTCAAACTGCTGGTGACTAATGCCTGTAGCCTTCGTAACAAGCTGGACGACCTGAGGCATGCACTCAACCAGCACAACATAGATGTAGCAATTATCACTGAAACTAAATTCTCTGCTGATGCCATAACTAGCCTTGACTCGTCCATCCCTGGATACGGCGTCCCATATCGCAGAGACCGGAACGAGCACGGAGGAGGTGTCGCTGTGTGGATCAAGTCCACCCTTGCTTCTGCTCATCTAGACCAACTCCAGTCTGCAGAACATGAAACACTCTGGGTTAAAGTCCGCCTCCGTGGTGGCACAAGCTTGGTGATCGGCTCTGTGTACCGTCCAGGGTCCTGTAGCCCCACCGACCTCTGTCTCATCGATTCACTTGACGATACACTACATCAGGCCAAAGAACTGTCCCCGAACGTAATCCTCGCTGGGGATTTCAACGTGCATAGTGCAGATTGGCTTGGTAGCGCGAAGTCAACCCCGGCCGGGGATGCCCTCGAGGATCTTTGTATCACCCACGAGCTCACGCAACATGTCCGAGAGCCCACTCGAGGTGCCAACGCGCTAGACCTAATCATGTCCACTTTCCAACAACCCATCAGCACCACAGTACTTGCCCCTTTAGGACGCTCAGATCATGGAACTGTGATAGCTCAATTCCCGACCATTTCACCATGCCGGGGAGAGGCCACCACGCGTACTGTGTGGCGTTACGAGCGTGCTGCCTGGGGGCGACTCAGAGCACACCTCAAGGCTGTCCCTTGGGCCTCCATTATCACGGACGACCCAGAGTTGTCTTGCTTACAAGTCACCAATACCATCGCTGCAGGCATGGACCAGTTCATTCCCCATAAGACTCTCGTCATCCGCTCATCTGATCCAAAGTGGTGGACCCCTGAGTGCACACAAGTGATGCGTATCTAGGACAGAGAATGGAGGAAATGGCGGCACGGCCTCGGCAATGACGTCAAGAAGCAATCCTTCATCGACTCTGTTACCCGCGCTACCACCACACTTCAGCACTCCAGGCAGGAGAAGGAACGGCACCTTCGGGCTCGACTCACCTGCGGCTCGCTTCGCGACAAGGCATGGTGGTGCAACCTGAAACTAGCATGCAGTCTTGGCCGAAACTTCCTCCTCGACTATGCCGGGAAGGAACACATTACCAGCAAGGAGAAGGCTGACTGCTTTCGTCACTTCTTTGCTGGCAAGTGCAGCCTGGGTGACAGGGACCTACATCGTGCCTCCCTTGGAACCCAAGGGCCTGCTCACCCACATCCCCCACTCACCCACGTCCACTTCCGCATCCAGAATGTTCACCGCCTCCTGCGCCGTCTCGACGCGTCGAAAGCCACGGGGCCGGACAGAGCATCTCCCCCCCCCCCCCGTGTCCTGAAAGAATGCGCTTCGGTGCTCGCACCGGTCCTGACCAAGCTTTTCTCATTGTGCTTCCGGCAAGGATACCAACCTCAGGCCTGGAAGCTCGCCAATGTTGTTCCTGTGCATAAACGCTCATCTCGCTCACAGCTCAAGAACTACCGCCCCGTATCCCTCCTTAGTGTGATATCCAAGGTAATGGAGACCATTATCAACATGCAAATTACGAGCTACCTCGAGGGTAACTCACTGCTTGCAGCGAATCAGTTTGGCTTCAGACGGAATTTGGGTACAGCCGACGCTCTTACTGCACTACACCACTCCTGGGCATCCTCTATCGGACACGGAGGCGCAGCACGCGTACTTGCAGTTGACATCACTGGAGCCTTCGACAAGGTCTCTCACGCAGGTGTCCTCTTCAAGCTACAGCAATGTGGCATCCAAGGAATCCTCCTTGCATGGCTGACATCGTGCCTGTCTAACCGAAGCATACAGTGTGTTGTCGGTGGTGCAACCTACCGTCCATACCCCATCAAGGCGGGAGTCCCACAAGGCAGCATCTTGGGGCCAACCATGTGTCTCATATACATTAACGACGTATCAACATGCCTTGCTGGGAACACGCAGCTGGAAGCCTATGCTGACGATACGACATTGTGCACTCTTCTCCGTAACGACCTCCCCACTGCTGCTGCCTTGCTTCAGGACACCGTCAATCGTTTGTCAGACTGGGGCAAGGAATGGCGTGTAGCGTTTGAGCCGTCGAAATCCCAGGCTATGATAGTCACGCTGCAAAGAGCGCAGCTAGCCTTGCCCTCTCTCTCCTCTTTGGAGGCAACCCTGTGCCAGAGTCATCCACAATAAAGCTCTTGGGGGTGACTTTTGATCCGAAGCTGTCCTTCGCGGAGCACATCCGCGCAGTGTCTATACGTGGCAAACAGCGCTTGGGCCTCCTGCGGCGAGCTGCGCCCTATCTCTCCCGAGAAGGCCGCCTCACGGTGTTCAAGGGTTTGTACGGCCCGTTTTGGAGTATGCTCCGCTCGTCTGGATGGGAGCTACGCCTTCCCATCTATCACGCCTAGATAGCATCCAACGCCGTGCATTGCGCATCATTGGTCCCGGGACGGAGCTCCAGAGCCTCAGCCTACGGCGATACGTTGCTGCATTAACATACACTTACAAACTGCATTTCATCACCGGTCCGACTCAATTGCTAGCAGTCCTCCCACCAAGGCTTGAGCCCCGTGAGGCCACTCGCACTCGAAACGATCTCCGCATGGCTACCGGCCACAGTTACCAGCTACGAAATCCGCTACCGCGTCAAGCACCAGACACCGTTCTCCGCAGCTTCCCACATTGTGCAATCCAGCTGTGGAATTCCCTGCCGCCAGCTTTTCTAGACTCCGCCCCAACTTGCAAAAATCTTCAAAAGTTTAAGTGCAACGTCAACGAATACCTCCGCCGACAGGATTGGCGATGGTCCACGGACATTCTGCCTGTCGACCCACCTACATTCTAGTGCCCCGTCCATCAACAACTCCCATTGCTACGAATGCGCTGCACAGTAGTACTAGCTGCTGCTTGCCCTTGCTTTCTTTTTATTTTTGCTGACCCTTACAGCTCTTTTGTTTTTGGTGCGTGTTTCTGGCCGTGATGCCGAGACCTCAGGTCGGCAGAGCCATCAATGCCCCACCATCACTGCTGCACCTCGGTGCAGCCCCTTCTCAGTAGTTGTCACGTTTGTCCTTGTCTCAGTACCATTGTTTTCTGTATTATTTATGAGTTGGGTATGTGAACATAGTAAAAAAAAATAAAAAAATCTAAGGATCAAATCCGAACCCTGAAGTCCTCCTACTCGGTAACAGCACAAATAACCTCGACAAATCCTTCTTCAACATACCATCGGCCGAAAGAATTAGATGCGGCGGTGCCTTCGGCGATAATGTTCCTACCCGTAAGATATAGTTTCGTACAGAAAGTGGTGGACATCACGCAACTGCGTTGTAAATAAAAGGGTTCCGACGATGGGTGACTGGCCCGAAACGTCAATAATTTGTCGACATCATTAATAAAAGAATTTTTATCTAAATATGTAGCTTGCAGGATTTATCATCTGGCTGAGCAACATGCCTGCCTCAAGCGCCAATAAGAATGATGTAAAGGCATCTCCTATTCTTTGAGCAGCTCCATACCGACCTGCGTCACCTGCCTATCTGGTGCTGCTGCTGCTGCTGCTACAAGAAAAAAAAACAGTCGCCGAAGGTGCCTACTATGCCCAGACAAGTTTCACAAACAAGGAGGTTAGGTCAGGGCATTCTTTACACAGTACGGTTTCAGCTACTACTGTAGAAGTACAACATTTCCTTTGGAAAATTTAATAACTTTCGCCGTGTTCGTTAGGTGGCACATTAACGTTTAAACCAAACTAAAGTAAACCCGTTCTGCACGTTCGGGGTGACAGACCTCAACCCAAAACGAAATTTAGTACGTAAGGAGTCTGCTGGTGGAGTGATTTTGTGAACGAAAATTTGTACTTATACAGTATCTATGAGCACACGTCACATTTCTATACAATCAGCGATATGTCGGAAGTCGAAGGTAAATATTTTCCTTCCGGCTAGCCAAAGTTCTACTAGAGCTCCAAAATGGACTCTATGAATAATCTGTCTTCAAATTATCTGTAGAATTGAACAGCTGTCCTGGGTCCAAAAGGACCCCGTGTCGGTGCAATCCATGTATGTAGCCAGCTTGAACAGTAGTTGCCAAGATACTTAGTTCCAAACTCATTAAAACGACACAGTTCTTGAGTTAGTGTCCAGTAGGAAAGTATCTGAGTTTGCCAACTGAGCATTATTCGATGTTTCCACATTTTACCGTTTTTCTGCGATATATCCGACACACTCGGTGGCAGGTTTAATGTCACTTTCGCGTCATGCTCAAGTTTTCTGCCGAACATACGGCGGGAAGAAAGTAGCTTGTTTTCAGCATAGACAAACGTGAAGAGAAACACGACAACAAATACACCAAAAATGTGGACTGAGTTCACGACTACTCAGCAAAATACGACTGGGGTCCAAAAAAGGGGAAAAAGTCAACATGGAAAGAACGTTAACAATACAGAAAAGGCAGAGTTCTGTTCAAATATATCGGAAAGCAGATTTTCCTGTACATAGCGCATACACTGTATCATGTCCGGTCGACGTTTCAGGTTATGTGTTTCGGTTATTGTCCGTGTCGGGTTGCCTTGGCGCGCTGCGCGGACTTGTCTCGGCTCGCCGAAATGGCGGCGGCGAGCTGATAGGGCGTGAGGGGATCGTACTCCTTGTCTCCAAGCTCCTCCACCACGGCCGTCTGGGAGGCTTGGCGTTTGCTGACCATATGCGCTGCTGCGCCGGCATGGTGGCCACGGCTGGCAGCGGCGGCCTGGGCGGCCCCAAGCGGCGCGTACTCCTTGCCCTCGAATTCGGCCACGGTGGCCGTCCGGGCCAGCTCCGACTTCTGGCTCATTTGGGTTCGGTCAAAGTCGGCCGTCCTCGAGACGGTCGTGTACATTTCCGCGCTTGCCTGGCCTTCTACTGCATCGTAGCCGACAGCTTCAGCGGAAAAGGCAGCCTCAACGCTACCGCTAGGTTCCATTGGCTGTTTCTTAGATCCCTTTTTCTTCTTCTTCTTTGACGAAGTTGTTGCACCGTCGTCCGCTACCACATCGTCATAGAAGGACTCAGTTTGCGAAATGGCGTCCGCCGCAAAGCTGTCGGGAGCTAGGCTCTGAGATTGTTCGTGAGTGATGCTGCTAGGAGCATTGTCGGTACCTTCGCTTCGAACACTGTCGCCACGAGCAACACCAGTGGTGGCGGACACACTGGCACCCTGAGCACCCGAGGTACGGGGGGCCGGTACGGGGGAGAAGGAGCCGGATTTCGACTTGGCAAAGACCTTTGAACTAAGCTTGCTCGCAAAACCCTGGCGGGTCTCAGCCTTGTGGATCGCGGCCTCTGCAGAATCTGGCGGGGAGACGAGCGCGGTATGGGCTTTGCGTTCGCTGGCGCGATTGCTGCGCGACACGAGCGTGTACATCTCTGGTGTTCCGACCTGCTGCACTCGCATCTCCTGTCCATCGGCTTGGGCGGGATGCCGCTCGAGGTTCAAGGCTTCGCTGTCATCGCCGGCAGCTTCAGCAAATGATTGACTGTCGTGTTCGCAAACTTCTGTGCTGCTGAGTGCCGTGCTCCCGCTCTCCCTGTAGGAAAACTGAAGCTCATCCGCCATGAACGACCGCACACTGGAACCGGTGGTAGTGGACATTGACTTTGCCAGCTGCTTTGGAAGAGACGTGCCGCCAAGCTCTTTGGCCAGTTCGTCAATGTCCTGCTCAATGTAGGAGGCGTCCTCGGGCAAGTATCCGGGCAAGTCTCCCACGTCGATGTGCGCCACGTCCTTTGTGTGTGCCTTACGTACGCTAGACCGGTCGGAGAGTGGTGCGCCCTTCTCCACATTGCCGTCATGTGTATTGTCCTGGTTCTGTTCCGAGTCGTTCACCCAGCCCCAGCTGCTGCAGAGGACAGGGAACACATTTGAAAACGGAGAGAAACGCAAAACAGAATATGGATATCACGAGGCGAACTCCAGCAATGTTTTCAATTAGCACGTCCGTGTGAACGCACCCCTCACAACTTTGTTATCATACATCGAATCGGTGTTTCAAAGGAAGGTCTAACGGACGGAAGTCTAGCCCCAGCACCCCCAATGCATGATAAGGCTAGTCCTTTGGATTAGTTTGTGCCCACACAGACACGGAGAAGGAAACAGGCCCATACACCCCACACAAACAAACAAACAAACAAACAAACAAACATACACAGACAAGAACACAGTCACACACACGCACACACACACACACACACACACACACACACACACACACACACGCGCGAATGCACACACACACAAACACACACAGACACGCATGCCCGCACGCACACATACACACATACACACACAGAGGCACACAGAGGCACACACACACACACACACACACACACACACACACACACACAAGAACCCCCCCCCCGCCACACACACACACACACACACAAACACACATACACACCTGCACCCACCAACACACACACACACAAACACACATAGACACCTAACCCACCAACACACACACACATTTGTCCTTGGTCACTGGCAAAACACGTCACATGGGGCATAGACTGTGCCGGTCTGAGTGTTCATGATCTGGTTTAGTTGATGGACTCGATCGGATAACTTGAGCCCACATTTTTCAATGTTACAAATTATTCCCATGGCTCACCATCTAAGTTCAAAATAGTATTTATGTTTTTGTCTTTGGTGGCCTTACGACAGTCCTGCTCACTGAAATCCGACCTAAAGAAAAACATCCAGAGATCAAGGGATCTTTCTTCCTTTTTCTTGTCACTTATTGGATTTGCATGCTGTTTTCTTGATTCTTCACATGTCTTTTTTCGTGTCACTTCTACACATAATTGGAGTGATGTATTTCTGAACTTTTTTCCTTATAGTTGTAGTCTTTTAGCTTATTCCCATCATTCCCTGTAGTATTTTGACAAGAAGGGAACGAAAACGTTCAATACTTTGACACATGTCCTAATTGGCTGGTGGTGACTCTTGCGTAGATGCATGCGTAGATAATAATTTTTTGTAATATAAATAATAATAATATTACGAAGTAGTGGTTGCGACTTCGGCAATGATTTGTAAGAAAGGGTTTGCTCCCCACACCGGAGCTCGCACTATTCCGCCGACTCAAGCTCCTCAAGCTCAACTGATGAGGGTGAATTCCAAGAAACACAGTGTATTGAGCAGGGAGTGGTGCTTTCTTGCAGGTTTGATGAGTCGAAGGTTCGATGGACTTCTCGTGTGCTCTGGATGGCAGTCGTGAGTCAGTCAAGTGTCAAGTAAAGTCGGCGGGATAGCGCGAGCTCCGGTGTGGGGAGCAAACCCTTTCTTACAAATCATCGCCGAAGTCGCAACCACTACTTCATACTGTTGTGCCCAGCGCGGGCTTGCGACTAGTTGCTTTGGAGGTGACAGCGTTGCGAATGACCGAGGGTCCTCGACGTCTGTCTCACCGTCCACGAGCGACACTGACTCACGCTGCTATCTGGTGTTCACGAGGTGTTTGTCGCGCTGGAAACGGAGCGTCTCTGTAAGTTTGTATCCCTGGTGATGTTTGTGCCTGGAGAGCACTATATAAGTGGTGCTCTTCAGGCACAATCTTCCTCAGCCTACTCAAGCTCAACTGATGAGGAGTGAATTCCCCGAAACACTGTGTATTGAGCAGGGAGTGGTGCTTTCTTGCAGGTTTGCCGAGTCGAAGGTTCGATGGACTTCTCGTGTGCTCTGGATGGCAGTCGTGAGTCAGTCAAGAGTCAAGTAAAGTCGGCGGAATAGCGCAAGCTCCAGTGTGGGGAGCAAACCCTTTCTTAATAATAATATTAATAATAAAATTGTATGCGGACATGTGTACGTCCAGCTGCATTCATTCTACTTCCAGGGCGTCAAGGGCTGTGGAAGCTGGTGGCGCCGGCTTTGCACGTTGGGTCAGATTTCAGTGAGCGCAACTGTAGTTACTGCTTGCAGTGTGTAAGTGCGGGTGTAACTTGCATGCAGTGTGTGGGTGTATTGCATGCAGTGTGTGGGTGTATTGCATGCAGTGTGTGGGTGAATTGCATGCAGTGTGTGGGTGTATTGCATGCAGTGTGTGGGTGTATTGCATGCAGTGTGTGGGTGTATTGCATGCAGTGTGTGGGTGTATTGCAAGCAGTGTGTGGTTGTATTGCATGCAGTGTGTGGGTGTATTGCATGCAGTGTGTGGGTGTATTGCATGCAGTGTGTGGGTGTATTGCATGCAGTGTGTGGGTGTATTGCATGCAGTGTGTGGGTGTGGGTGTATTGCATGCAGTGTGTGGGTGTAACTACGTCCCACCAGCCGGTGTGGATTCACAGGAACTGTGAGTTACGAAGTCTGAAGAAAACGTTGAGCGGTCTGGTCTACGCTGGGATGATAGCTCCGTGGTTAGAGCGTCGCTGGCCTCAAGCCAAGGTCCCTGGTTCGAGTCCTGGTGCTGACAACCAATTTTTCCGTCAGACTTAAATAAAATTGTTAGTGTTATTGTAGCGACCTCACTCCCTGAGTATTACGTCATTCTACATACGCATGCGCAAGAAATAAAATCATTCTCTTTGGTCACAACTTCTTCGTTGTCCGGTTGGCCAAAGTAGCCGTCGTCTAGGGCCCGACGTAAAACCCTAAATTGGTGACCCCCGACGCTGCGCTCTTCGGAGTTTTGAGCATGCCATCCCTGAGCTCGGCCCTCCGCAGTTTCCTGCTCGCCTCAACTCTCGGGATCCCGTCAATCGCCGGCTGTTGACGTAAAACTTGAGCCTCACCACCACTGGATCCGCCTCGGAGCTGCTGTGGCCCCTGCCACCCTCCCCGGCCCACCTGGATACCCCGCTATCCTGCCACGGCATCGTCCAGTCGTCGTCGTCCGTATTCGTCCTGGCCTCAAGCTGGAAATTGGCCACCTCCACCCGTCGTACCAGCTCACTCACTGTGCACGCACGCAGGCCCACGCCCGGCACCGGACCCCATGGAGCTGCGCTCGCCTCCATCTGTCCAAGCCTCAGTCGGCACGCCTCGCCCCAGTGCAGCGCTCCTGCTGGTATCCCGCCAAGCCTGCAACATGCAGCCGCCTCTGACACGATAACACTCCTCTGTCATGCGTACGTTTTCTCTTTTCTGTCTTTCTGCCTCGGACATGCTCTCCACCTCTGTCACGTTAACACACCTCTGACACGTTAACCCGCCTCTGTCATGCATCTCTCTCTTTCCTGCTTTTCTGATTTTTGTTTCGGCATTTGTGCCACGTTGTTTAACAAATTTCACGCACGCAGCGCTCTCGCCTGTATATATGTATCATATTATTATATGTTTGCCTTTACGCCTTGTACATGCTGCGCTTTCCTTTCTCTTCTCTTTCTTGTTTCTTGTTTATCGTGCTTCGCTCCTCCCGACCTCACCACTGGCGGGGGAGTACTGTAGCGACCTCACTCCCTGAGTATTACGTCATTCTACATACGCATGCGCAAGAAATAAAATCATTCTCTTTGGTCACAACTTCTTCGTTGTCCGGTTGGCCAAAGTAGCCGTCATCTAGGGCCCGACGTAAAACCCTAAATTATGTACTAGCATTTTTATATAAAAGAAAAAGGACAAAGGAGCTACAAGTTATGCTAGAATGTCCTTCCTCTTTTCTATAAACTAATCCTTGGCTCTCCATCAGAGGCCATACTAGTATCTTTGTTTTGCGTTGTAATGATTTTCTACACCAGTTTATAGTAAAAAGAAAAGGACCAAGAAACTACAAGTTACGCTATACTGTCCACTAACACCACCAGTTACTAAACAATCAGCTCATGCGATAACATTGCAGGACACTGACCGACGGTACTGACATTCTACAAGTAACTGGCTAACAGCTCTAGCACAAATTGGATGCGCACTCCAACAGCCTTCCAACGCTTCTAAGTTATGCTATAAATTTTCTTTACTATAAATTTATCCTTGACTCTCCTTCCGAGTCCACACAATGATTTACTGTTTCATTTGCTTCTAACTGTTACACAAATGGCGACATCACCCGTTCGGTTCTGCACTTTCAAATCATGTACTTGTCTATCTACCTACCTACAAACAAAAAAACCTACAGACATACACATACACATACCCACATACCCACACTCACACACTCACACACACACACACACACACACACACACACCTTTGACCTTTGACCTTTGACGCCCATCGCCGGAGGCGATGATAGCAATGCTACGGCAGAAGCCATAGCAACTTGTGCTGGGATTACACCATTCAACAGCTTGCAAGGCTGAAGAATTGACCGTCACTATTCAGCCTGGTCTACACCATACAGCTATTTGGAGTGACATTTTCTGGCCAGTGAATCCCTTTTTTGGTCTTTTTCATTTTTTTCTTTTTTTTTCCCGCACACACATCACACCACATACTCCGGCATGCACTGGCTGTTGGTAACCACCCAGGAGAATGAAAGAAAAGTCAGGAAGAGTCTGAGAAAGAGAAGAAAGACGTGTGTGACCATAATCGTCGGTAATCGAACCCGCAATCTATCGATTGGAAATCGCTGCACATACCACTGCACCATATGGGACACACACACACACACACACACACACACACACACACACACACACACACACACACACACACACACACACACATGCACGCACGCACACACAATACAAACTCACTCTCACACAGTCTTAAATTGCTGAGAGCACTTCTTTGCATCCAGATCACGCCAAATGCGTGCATCAAACAAACACGAAACTCACGAGGATTCTTGGTTTGCCGTTTCGATGGGGTCGAACTTCATCATACCAGCTTCCTCTTTCTGAATACGCCTCCGTCGCACCATGAAGCCGCCAAAGGCCAGGACCATGCATCCGGCCAAGATCAGCGGAGAGAAGAGAAGAGCGAGGTTCAACGTACCGCTTTCGCCATCGTCATCCTTTTCTTTGCCGTCACTGCGACCTCGAGCACCTTGCCTACCCAGTGTTGTGGCTGGTTCGACAGTAGAAGTCCCAAAAACAGGTTCGCTACTAGAGTGTTGCTCAGTGACATTCTTGTCATGCAATACCCCAGTCTGTACATCAGGATTAGAGACACCTGGAGCAATGGTAGCTGCATCCGAACCGTTTCCTTGGGTGGTAGCGTTGGTAGCGATGTGCACAGCATCACTGGAGCTGCTGTTCATAGAATTCAAACCTTCTGCTTGCGTGGTAGCGTTCGTAGCGATGTATCCAGTATTATCGGAGCTGTTGTTCGTAGAATTCAAACCTTCTCCTTGGGTGGTAGCGTTGGGAGCGAAGTATCCAGTAGTATTACTGGAGCTGTTAAATTGAGAAGCCAAACCTTCTCCCTGCGTGGCATTTGGGGCTACTGGATGGCTTTCGTTAGTACCTGAACCATTAGCGGATTCAGACGGACCTTGCACTTGCATGGCAGGGCTGCCTGTGGTATTTTCTGGAGCTCTGAGTGTGGTTGCCATTGTGTTGTTGGCTGAATCGGTTGTTGGAGTGGTGGTAGGCTCGGTGGTTGGGGTGGTGGTTGGTGTGGTGGTTGGGGTGGTGGTCGGTATGGTGGTTGGGGTGGTGGTTGGACTGGTTGTCGGAATGGTGGTTGTGGGTACTGTAGTGGATAGAAAGAAGACCAGACCGGGAAACAGGTTACTTGTCCACCGGGTTTTTGCACTGGACTAGTTCTAACGGTCAGCCAACTCACACCTATCCCCTCCCCTCTTCCCCTCTCCCCCTCTCCGATAACCCCTACACCAAAGCAAACTTCAAAGACCTTTAAAGCGATAAACTGCAAGGATTGGCGTAGGCAGTCACTAACCTGGAACAGTGGTCCCTCTATAATCTGGCACCATATGTGCCACGGAAAATCTGCTGGATTAGGGAGGGTGCTGGATTAACAAATTAACAAATCGGATTTACTGCTTCAATGTGCATGAAGAGGACATTTTGACTTCTAAATAATTATTGTGCTGGTTTATCGAGGGTGCTGGTTTATAAAGTGCTGGATTAGAGAGGGACGACTGCAGTAGCGCCAGTAGTAGAACATTGTATCTACTAGCAAACGGTCACTCTCAGTCGGGTCTGTATGATGTGTGGCGATAATCCAACTCCAACTGCAGACATCAGGTCTGCCACTTGCTCCGATGTTTCGGAAATCGTCCGATTTTTGATCGCCTGTCAGACAAACCGACCGACTTTGTTCCCAAAGGGGGACAACCGATTATTTTTGTTGGAGCGCTTTTTAGTCCAGTTGGCCATTCGCCGCTTCCAGGTCGCGTTTGGCCAGTCAGTGTACATGTACATGTAGCTGTAAAATGCACAAGAGCTTGCATGTGTGTGGACAGTTAAAATTGTGTTCTGGGGCCCCAACAGCAAGCCATTTTCCTGAAAAAACTTCACTGGGGGATACCCCGCACCCCCTCAGATTTTTCTCCCTCCAAGTGGGGCAGCCCTGAGACATTGTAAACTTTGACCTGAGCGTGAAACTCGGGTTGACAGCAACGTGCAACTGCTTACTTTTCTTGGGTTGCACATCATTAGTCAAGTACTTTCTTGGTGTTGGAACCCTTTTCATCTTCGAAGAAGGGCTGAGGCTTCCTTCAGCTACGTCTCAGAAAGGAATTCGGGTGGACACACCCATTCCCATAGCGCTGCACATCCGAGCCAGTTACGTTATTTTACAACGCGCCCTCACTTCACAGAGCACAATGCAATGGCGCGCTACCTTCTGCTGCTTCTTCTTCGTAATGTGCTAGTTGCACCTTCTCTCTCTCTCTCTCTCTCTCTCTCTCTCTCTCTCTCTCTCTCTCTCTCTCTCTCTCTCTCTCTCTCTCTCTATTTCTCTCTCTCTCTCTCTCTCTCTCTCTCTCTCTCTCTCTCTCTCTGCCCTCCCTCTTCTGCATACCAGGTGATGTAATTCGCATTTTTTTGGCGCTACACTTTGCGTATATATGCTGCTCTTGTGTGGCTTCCACGGTATTCATTGTTATTACCTGACGATGGCCAAGTGCCGAAACGTTGTAAAAATAACGGAACTGGTTCGGATGTGCAGCGCTATGGGAATGGGTGTGTCAACCCGAATTCCTTTCTTTTCATCTTTGTTGCAGGAAATTCAAAACTCAAATCCCAAGATTGACCGGGTTCCGTCGTTAGTCCCATTGACGGCATTGGCCGCATGTGTTCAATGTCGTGAATGGAAATATGATTTTTTTCGTTGGCTGTCACCCTTCATTTCACAATGATTATTTTTCTGTCATTGGCTGTCGTTTGACGAGCCAGCAAGTATTGAATAAAACCAGCATTTAATACAAAATGACCGTATCCAGAACTCAGCGGCCTAGGCCATAAGTGCCGAAAGCAACAGCAATCGGCTCTGCGCAGACTGTTGTCATCAACTGCCATGTCATAACTGCGGGCTCCAGCCGACCTCAAGACGTTGCCACCGCTCATGGCCAGGAAAGTGACACACAGGTTGGCGCTAGATTCCTTCATACGTCTGTTTCTGTAGCAGTAAACAGGCGTTGATTTCCCTTCTTGTTCTGTGTTGATATTAAAACTCTCAACAGTGATAGACCTTATTAGTGGTTGTTCATAGTGGTGGACGTCAAACCATTGGCAAGCCACAGTATCAGGGCAACGAATATACCCGGTGACGTGCCAACGGTGATGTGCGGTGTGGTGAGTGAGTGGGTGGAGCGAGTGGGTGAGTGAGTGAGTGAGTGAGCGAGTGGACGGAGTGAGTGTGTGAGTGAGTGAGCGAGCGAGTGAGCAAGTGGACAGAGCGAGTGAGTGAGTGAGTGGGTGAGTGAGTGAGTGGGTGAGCGAGTGAGTGAGTGGGTGAGTGAGTGTGTGAGCGAACGAGTGAGCGAGCCAGTGGAAGAGTGAGTGAGTGAATGAGTGAGTGAGCGAGTGAGCGAACTAGCGAGTGAGCGAGCGAGCAAGCGAGCGAGTGAGTGGGCTATTGAGTGAGTGTGTAATTGAGTGAGTGAGCAAGTGGATGGAGTGAGTGAGTGAGTAAGTGAGTGAGGGAGCGAGCGAGTTTGTGAGCGATCGAGCGAATGAGTGAGCGAGTAAGTGAGTGATTGAGTGAGTGAGTAATTGGACATAGTGAGTGAGTGAGTGAGCGGGTAAGTGAGTGAGTGAGTGAGTGAGCCAGTGAGTGAGTGAACAGAGTGAGTGAGCGAGTGAACGGAGTGAGTAAGTGAAAGAATGAGCGAGTGGACGGAGTGAGTAAGTGAATGAGTGAGTGAGTGAGTGAGCGAGCGAGTGGGTGAGTGTGTGAGCGAGTGAGTGAGTGAGTGAGCAAGTGAGTAAGTGAGTGGGCGAGTAAGTGAGTGAGTGAGTGAGTGAGCGAGTGGATGCAGTGAGTGAGCGAGTGAGTGAGTGAGTAAGTGAGTGAGGGAGCGAGCGAGTTTGTGAGCGAGCGAGTGAGTGGGGGAGTAAGTGAGTGAGTGAGTGAACGAGTGGACATAGTGAGTGAGTGAGTGAGTGAGTGAGTGAGTGACTGGGTGTGTGAGTGCCGGAGTGAGTGAGTGAGTCAGCGAGTGGACGGAGTGAGTGAGTGTGTGAGTGAGTGAGCGAGTGGACGGAGTGAGTGAGTGGGTGAGTGAGTGAGTGAGTGAGCGAGTGAGTGAGCGAGTGAGTGAGCGAGCGAATGAGTGAGCGAGTGGACGGAGTGAGTGAGTGAGTGAGCGAGTGGGTGGGTGAATGAGTGAGCGAGTGGATGGAGTGAGTGAGTGAGTGAGTTGACGGAGCGTACGCCCCGGGGGACTCTCGCACTGTTACTTGCTAAGCCGTTCTGTCTTCCTAACTCACATCTGGGTATCAGTATCAGGTCGTTACATTTTCAACAGTTTAGTTCATCACAGTGGCTTGCACTTGATTCTCGTACTAAGCCGTAATCCTGGCACATTAGGCGCACATAATATTCTGACGCCTTTCAGTGCAAAGGGGTGATTTTCACCATCTTGGCCTTTCCACAATAGCTACCTTCGCTGATGAGGGTCACGTTTGTGCTCCGAACACACTATCCACTGTGGTGTTGCTTTGCTGGTGATCTGCCGTGACAACGTGTTGTGGTCGGCTGGACAGCGCAGTTTTGGTGTGGTGGTCGATGAAAGAGCTAACTGATGTTGAAGCAATCACACCGCTTTTTCATTCCTTAAGAGGTCCCACTGGATTCTCGCTTAAAGTTGGACAATGTGCATATCAAGTGCTAGGAAGGCTTGGTGCAAAATTTCGTTGAAAACAACTCTAGGCCAATTCACCAACAACAAATTCATGATTTAAACAACATGTATGGAGACCAACAATAATGGGCTGGGGACTGTCGCCTCATTAGAGTGTACTTTGCTTAGTTAGAATTTTTCTTGAAGAAGAGAAAGATAACACTAGTGAGTTACTACACGTTTCGTCATCACGAGCGTTGGCACTACATGCAAATTTCACGTTGGGCACTAAGAATATAGCCACATCTCTCACCGGTAATGGATTTTCATCTTCTGAGGCTCTCTGGAAAGCTGAGGATCAGCTCTGTCGATCTACGGCGATCAGTCCAATGCAAGAGCAGGAGAACGGCCTACAAACACTTCGAAAGCCGCTCCAACACACCTTTGTAGTGCTATTAAACACTCGAAGACAATTTCTTTCGATTTTCAGCTCGTACTCAGCGTACAGCGAGGATTCAAACACCAGCAGAATCAGGCTGCTCTAGCGCTCATTTCGATGTAGGTCACGCATGGGCTGGGCATTGGGGAACCTTGGGGAACCCCCCCCCCCTAAAGCACGGAGTATACTTTAGCATGAAATCTGGCACCATCACAGACCTGACATTTGACATTCAAACGTTTCCCGGACTTCGCGCTTTGGCGCTTGCATACTTTACTTTCCGCATTATCGAATAATACATCGTTGGAAAGTGGCATTCAACGGCTTTCCAATGAGTCACCATATTATGTTTTTGAAGTAGGCAGTTCGAAGTTGTAGCTGTTTGTACAGTGGTCTATGCTCGTTTCTGTATGCTCATTTTTGCGTGATGAGTTCTTGTCCTCGACCATTCAGGGCG